CCTGGGCTACCAAGTGAGTCCCAGGAAAGGCGCAAAGCTACACAGAGAAACCCTGTCTCGAAAAATCAAAAAAAAAAAAGAAAAAGAAAAGGAGTTTCAGATGAGAAAAAGCAAAGTATAAAGGGACTCCTTTGAAATAAAAATTACTATCAACACAGAATTATTTGAGACCATCAGTTTCAGAATATATCTGGAATATATCTAGACCAAAAATGGTCTAGAGCATATCTGTGGAATGATAAGGCGTTGGAATTAGATTTAAGATTTGATATTTAAATCCTAAAATAGCAAAAATTTAACTGTCAAAAGTCTGGCTATATATAGTTCTAATGGCAAAAAGAAAAAAAAGTATTTAGAATAAATATTACAAATGTGATTTTTTTTTAAATCCACCTCGGGCATGAAGAAGAAACCTGTATAATGGAAATCCTAGCCCAGTCTGTCTGTTAAGAGATTTTAGACAAGGACCACAAACTGGACCGATAATAGCCTTTGCTACACTGTTGGACTGTATCACTTCTCCATCCTCTATCGCTACCCCATCTAGGCCAAGCTGTACCACTGACTAGTTTTATGGCGTCCACCAAGACACTTGAAATCCCTGAGGCATAAGATAAGAGACTCAGAAATTAACTGATCCTTTCTCGTGGCTTCGTTTATTGTACTTTTTCATGGAACAAGTGGCTGTAAACATTTTTAAAACTCAGGCACTAAAGCTGACAAGAAGACTACGGCGAGAGGAGAGGCCTGCACAACCCAAGAAGCCAAAATTCACGGCTGTTGCTAAAGGAGGCAAGTCTGGGAACCGCTACGGTAGACCAACTCAACACCTACATTTTTTATTCGCAAGGGACAGAGGCTCAGGACTCAAACAATGAGTAAGTCTTCTGTTCCAAAGGGGCCCGGAAGTATTAGCAATCTCAGGAAGGTGATTAGAGGTCAAGAGTCATGTGTTACGTGAGCCTCTTACTGCTGTCCTTCCCTCTTCCACTCGGACTCTAAGCCCAAGGGAAATATAAACGCCAGCATAGGCGCTGTTAGCTTCACTCAGCTTAGTGAAGAGCTCAATGAAAATGCACGTTTTCTGCTTCTCGTTCCTTCACAACCAAAGAGAGGGGACTCATGTTTGTCATAAAGATGATGACACTCCTGGAATAATTGTGTTTGGACCTCCAGTAAGGAAGGCTGTCTAGAGAAAGACTGGAAAGTGATTTCAGCTCTTCATGGCTATAAGCCTTTCTCAAACCCATTGTCAGCGCCATCCACTAGTGGAGAGGACACCCCTGAACTCTGGGTGCTACTGCCCGGATCAGGACTCAGACAGGCCTTGCATGTTTTGGAGATGTTTGAGCTTTCATCAACATGAGCTGTCTTATTTCCTTGAGAACCAGCTGTCCAAGGCAAGCAAGATTAGATATGAAAGGGATTTCAGCCATACCAGGCTATCCAGATTAAGACACTCACATTCAGTAAGCATCTAATCTGTACTGTGAAGTGTGAAATTTTAATAGCTTAGGCTATTCTTTTACAGAGGGAGGTACATATGTCCCGGAGCTTGTTTTATTCAGTTACAACAAAGCATACTAAAATGCAACTCACATACTACAAAGAATAACCAGTCTAAGTCAGGAGACCAGAGAAGGAATTTCTTAATCAATGTTTACCCCCTTTCTATAGATATCCCACCAGAGGAGATGTCAAGATGAGGAAGATGTTCTGGCCCATATTGCATAGCTCTCTCTTCACAGCAGAGAGGCAGCATTTGTAGAGACTGGGATTCCCCTGGCAAAAGCTGCCCAGACCTAGACTAAGTGGGTAAATAAAAAGCATCCACTTCTGTCTGTGTTTGTAGGAATAGGACAAAGGCTCCCTCCAAATTAAGGTTTCATTTTTGTAAGTAAATACAAGCAGGGCTTCGCTGTGGCTAAGATCATAATAACTAAAGTTTCACAGCAAAGCCACCCTGTAACACTGAAGTCACGCTTTTGCTCAACTTCCCTTCCCATTGCTTCAGAGTCTCTTATTTTTACAGTGATATCAGGATCTCTTTATTCCTCTTGAGGATAGAAAGGCCATAACACAGGACACAAGCCAGAAAAATATATTTCTCTTATGATGTAGCATAGGATGATATCATCCTACATATATACAACAGAACAACACTGCTATATATTATGTGCACACATATACATTCTTAAAAGGACTTGAGTGTTCCATGATGAAGCCATTCTATATGTAGAAATGTTATGTATAGTTCAGACTTCTATAGAATATTTACATAGAATTAT